TCTAAGCTTTTACATTTTAACCAATTTTTATAACATAACTTCTTATATTTTATCTTTTCTTGCACATTATTATTCCACCACCAACTATTTTTATTTGTAAATATTTTTCCCTTTGATTCTCCAAGAACATCTTTTGCTACATGTTTAATAGCGTTTGTTACTTTATCCCACATCACATTTGCTTCTTCATGAATATCCCAAATTTTGAAATCTTGAATTTTACTCATAAAATTAATTTTATTTGTATCTTTTAAGTTTCTCCATCTAATTCTGCAATGATGAGTCCTAGTATTTTTTATTTTACAACTCTTAATCTTAAAATCTAAAACTAATAAACGATGTTGGGTATTTAAATTTTCACTTGGAATGACTTTACAATCATTACAATCACGACGATCTCTTCTTCTTATAAGAAAATAATCAATTTGTGTTTTATTAGATCCACTCTTATAAGTAATAAGATGTTCATCCCTTTTCTTGAATAAAGTATTAGTAATAACAAAATCAAACGCTAAAGCAAAATCTAAAATAACTTTACCTTCTTCATTAGTTACTCCAAAACCGTAGCCACCATGAATATTTCTGAAATCTTCTACCACTCTACCGACATGTCCATTTAAATCTCCTCCAATAAAAATTCTTTCTTCAAGAGGTATCATTTGTATTAAGTCTTCTAAGTCATTCCAAAATTTATCTTTAGACTCTGTATCTAAACCTACTTGAGGAGCATAACCACTTATAATATTAAAAATCTTAGTATCAATGATAATCTTAAGGGCTATAATTCTATCACCAACTCTATTAATTTTTACAACATTATCTTTCAAACTCTTATCTATAATTACACCTACACCATTTCTAGTGCGACTCTTACCAGAATACCAAAGTTTAAAACCTAAATTATCAATCTCCTTAGCCTTTTCTCCCACCCACTTAGTTTCTTGAATACATAAGATATTAATTTTCCTATGAATCATAATATCAACTAATTCCATTAATTTACCATTGAGAGTGCCTATATTCCAAGATCCTATCCTAATATTAGTTTCATTAGTTATTCTATTTTGAGTTCTTCCTATTCTATTTCATTAGTTATTCTATTTTCATTAGTTACCCTAAACCATATTCTGAAAAAAAGAAAAAGAGTTAGTAACCAAAAAAAATGCATTTTTTTTTCTTTTAGTTATTCTATTTTGTTTTGAGGTATTGAAACATTATAAATGGTGTATGATGTCCTCTTTACTAAAAAAAGAACATAATTTTTTATTAAAACAACCTCTAGCTTTATCAATCTTGATTTTATTTTAATGTTAACGCCAAATTGATCTTTTTATTACAGCGACAAAAATTTTGATGATATGACAAAGATCAAAATTTTGGTTTGATATGACAAACCCGTATCATTCAAGTACAATCATCTTGAATTATTATAAACTCTTTGGTTTTAGAGGCATTAGAAATTTTTTTGGGTCTCCAAATATCAAATTAAATTACATTAAGGAGTAGATGCTCGAGATTCACTCAACAGATAATTATCTAGTTATGCAATTGCATAAGTTTCACAATTAAAATTTTTGATGTCAACATTTTATATAAAGAGAGAAACATACCATTGAGTATTCAAAAAAGAAAACGCCCAACTCTATAATGAGAATTTCTTTTTATGAAACATAAAGGAAAAATGATGAATGATTTCTGCAACTATTGTTGTCTTCAAGTAAGAATAGCCCATCATGTTCTCTAACTTGTATGATAATCTTCTTCGCAGTTAAATCATTAAAGACAAAATAAATCAGTAAAGAATGGCACAACATAGTTTTGATCTCGGGTTATTTTATCAATAAATAAAAGATTTATAGCAAGATGAAGAGCATAAAGACCATTTTGGCGAGAGAAGATAAAAAATGAGAATATTACCTTGTAATAAATCTAGTGCTTAAGAAATTATGAGCTATTTTAATTTTTTTATTGCTGAGATGACAAATTCATAGGTTTAGAAGAGTTTGGTAAATTTTGTCCAGTAGTCAGAGGCATTGGAGTCTGTTATCCATGTATTGAAGTAATTATTTAAGGCATAAAAACATAGAGGATAGAAGCTTCAACATTTTAAGCTTAAGAGCATGACCCCGATGACATTTCTAGAGAGTTGATAAGGTTTCTTAGCTCGTCAATTTACCCCGATTTAAGTCTTCTAATCTTTATGATATTCTGCTGTATGTGTGGTTGACATTCATTATATCCAGCAAGCCATCCGGTCTTCCATAGAGTTCCTAATAATTTTCTTTGATATGCCCTTCTTCCTGCAGTAGTTGCATCATAATTTGGTTTTCTAATTAAATTTTTTTTCCATCATTTTCTAGGGAAAATGATAATCAGTCCTTCACTTTATTATTATTACCATAGTTGAATCCTTTTTGTTTGGTGTTTCTAAAATTATAGTCATTCTAAGGCATTAATAAAAGAGGCATGATCTTTTTACTTGGATGTGAACTTAATCAAATTCTAAATTAAAACTTACAAGAAACTCAAAAAAGCCTTTTTTTTTCCTATATATTATTTTAAAATGACAACATAATCATTACATTTGATCTTCATGCCTTGGCAGTAATCAAATTCAAACTAAACAAGCATCATTGAAATAAAGTATTCAATGACGGATATGCTACCTTATTTGGTGGTTGAGACTTTTGTCTTGATCTCATATATGAGAGCAATATTCTTAACCTTTAAATATGTTTGTATTACAGCTTCCCATACTTCATTTGTTGTTGTAAGCGACATGTAAAGCTTAATGATTTCAAACAACATGGAATTTTAGGGCCATGAAATGAAGTCTCCTTCATCGTAAGGTGTGAATTTTATACTTGATCCAAGAGAGGATCAACAAAAAGGAGAAAATTTTCTTTTCCTTTTATGAATGTATCACAATTGGATACCACTTTAGAAAAAATTTTCCATCCAATAAATATGACGTTTGTAACCCCTAGAATTCTCCTCAATCAGATAGGTCTAATTCGCATGATTCATAATGGTTAATTCTCCCATGGAGAAGCTAGAACACTCAAATGTGTAGAAAAAATAAAGGAATCGGGCTGCAAAATATGTCTGAATTTGAGATTCTAAAATGAGCTCTAATACCATGTAGAAAAAAAGAGAAGGGAGTATGCTTTTTTGCATCATTATACATTCAAAAAGCATTTGTTCATAGAGTGGACCATATCTCTCTAAAAGGAAGCAATAAATACAACTTAACAAGTATTTTCTAAATCTCCAATAATCTATATGCGCTATCTTTGTAATATACACCTGCTGTCACAGATCCATAGGCCTCCTCTTTCTTATTTTAGTGTCCACCAAATAGCAAGATCATACCTTCCATTTCTAGCAAGCCATAATTCATAATTTCCTCCTAAAATATTTGTCATGTCTGTAGTCAACATTCTCCAACATAATATTCTTCTCAAATTTGTAATTTGTTTGTTGATGCAGATTTTGAATATTAAGAATTCAAAAAAGAGATAAGATGTTTCGACATAAGAATAACATGCACTTATAAAAAAGAATAATATAATATCTTCAAATTAAAGACCTCACTAATATATTTAGTTTAATTTCAATGTTCTCAAGAAATAAACAATATGGGTGCATAAATGAGTGACTACTAAATCACATTTCCTAGTACTATAAAGAGTTTTCAGTTATTTGAATAGGGATGACAAAATCAGAATAAAGGCAGCCAAAACGAGCCCCCTTTGACTTTTAAATTAGTTTGAAATGTTGAAAATGCCTGTGATATTTGAGTAATTGCAAAATAAACAAGGAATTCACATATTCTCAAAGAATCTTTTAAGTAATGAATATGATGACGAGAATAAACACTAATTCTGAATGCATTCAACAGCATTTGTCATCTTGATAATTCATATAACAACTTAAGCTTCCAAAACAAATTGCTAGTTCTTAGCTTGTCAAAAAAAGCAAAGTAGCACAATAGCATGATGACAAAACATCCAACTAGAACTACAAGTTAAGAAAAGAAATAAGATTCATAAAATTAAGAAAATAAATAAGATTCCATGGTTCATATTGATATCTAACTTCCCAGGAACTTACACAAAAAAAAATTCCCAAGGCAGAACAAAAAAATTAGAAGTCCTTGTCTTTTATATATTTATTTAAGAATTAGTTAACCATTTAAATGGTTACTCATAACAAAGATAAACAATGAAAAAAAAAAAAAAAATCAAAATAACAAATAGAATGAAGATTCAGCTACCCTTTGCAGATTTACTCAACGTAGCTCATAAAAAATTAGTTCAATTCACCTTAAATGGAATGATAAAAATAAGTAGAAACATTGAGGATCATTAAGTTTTTCAATCTCCATAAAAGCAAAGCATCAACAATATAATGAGGCATTAATATGCGAGTAAAGGTAGAGTTTTTTAAGGAAGAAACGTATCACCTTCTTCAATAAAAACCGAGAGCCCAAAATCAGTAGTCTTAAGCAACGCATCTTCATCCTTAGTTGAAAGTAAGAAATTTTCAGGCTTAAGATCCCGATGCATAACACCCATAAAATGGCAAATGTTCACCACATTAACAATGTCCCTGCAGATTCTGGAAGCTGCACGCTCTGTGTAAAACCCAGTCGCAATTATCCGATCAAAAAGCTCACCACCAGCACAGAGCTCCATCACAAGGTGAACCGAATGCTTATCCTCAAAAGCCCCCTTGAATTCTACAATATTTGACTGCCCACTCAAATGCTGCATGATTTGGATCTCCCTCTTCGTATCATCTTTGTCGTTCTTATGCACAAGCTTGCGTTTTGAGATGGATTTGCAGGCATAAGATTGGCCGGTGGAGATCTCTGTGCAGAGGTAGGTGACGCCAAACTGGCCACGACCGAGCTCCTTACCAAAAGTATAATAGCTTCTAACATCCTCAAATGGTTTATCAAGGATTGTGTCGTATGTTAGGGCAGGCTTAGTTGATGGAACTGGTGGATTTTGTTTCAGTGGAGAAGGTGGAGCATGCCGAGTTTCCGGCGGCGGAGCCTCCGCACGGTAAGAACTTGGCGGCGGTGGTGAGGGTTTCACCGCGTGCGGCGGCGGCTGTGGTCTCTGTTGTGAATATGCATTTGATGCTGGTCTTGTATCCTTCCCTTTGAAGCAGCAAGATCCCATCTTTTTCTTCCGCTTGATTGAAGGAGTTCGAGCAAAACACAAAAAATATAATTTTGATTCGTTCCGGCTATCAAATATTAAGTAAATCCCGATAAGAATAACGCCCTTTTTTCAACAGTCGGATTAAACAACCTGAATAATCCGAAAGATGCTCCAAAATCTAATATTTCTGAAAAGAGAAGAGAAGGTCGAAAGCCAAAATTAATTCAGAGACATCTCCTTCAAAACCTAAGGTTAAAATATTCACAAATTGTTCAAATTGCTTACCTTGCACGCTCAACAAGAGATGGCAAAACAACCGCGTTGAGCCGCGTTGAATATTCAGATATATTATTGGAGAAATACAAAGATTTCTAATGGAATATGAAAAAACTTCGCCGCAGGAAAAAAATAAATTAAATTAGAATGGAAGAAGAAACGTTAGAACGAACGAACGCGGCTCGATTGTAGCAAAAACACTATTGAATTGATTTATTGTCATTTTTCCTTTGGTTTTTATGCTCTCCGCAACAGAAAATGGACCAAACTATCGACAAAAATAGAGGTCTAAAACTTATTTTTTTAATCTTTCTATAACTGCGATCATTGCACGTATACGATATTTTATACAACAACAACAACAACAACAAAGCCTTAATCCCACTACGTGGGGTCGGCTACATGAATCCTTTTTCTCCATTGCGTCCTATTTAGTGTCATATTTTCATTTAGTTCTAGTAAATTAAGATCATTTTTAATACAGTAAGCCCAAGTCTTCCTAGATCTACCTCTGCCTTTCTTAACACAAGTCGAATTTAAAACATCTACTCTCCTAATCGGATCATCTAATGGTCGACGTTTAATATGACCAAACCATCTAAGACGACTTTCTCTAATTTTGTCTGTCACAGGAGCTACACCAACCCTATCACGAATATATTCATTCCGCATTTTGTCTCTAAGTGTAAAGCCACTCATCCACCTAATCATTCTCATCTCGGCAACACTTAACTTATTATTATGCTTCTCTTTTAAAGGCCAACATTCAACGCCATAGAGCATTGCAGGTCTCACCACCATCTTATAAAATTTTCCTTTCAGTCTTAGCGGTACTTTTCTATCACACAAAAGGCCCGAAGCATTCCTCCACTTCAACCAACCAACTTGAATTCTACTATTAACATCCCCATCTATATCACCATCGCTTTGGACAACGGACCCAAGATATCTAAATCGTTCACACCTTTTAATAATTTGATCACCCAAAGTCACACTTCTGTCACTAGAGCTATTACTACTAAAATTACATTCCATATATTCAGTTTTAGTTCTACTTAAACGAAGGCCTTTAGACTCCAATGTAGACCTCCATAATTCAAGTTTTTCCTGGGCTTTTTCTCTCGTTTTATCCACGAGAAGAATATCATCAGCAAAAAGCATACACCAAGGTACATCCTCCTGTAAATATCCAGTAAGACAATCCATAACTAAAGCAAAAAGATATGGGCTTAAAGTCGATCCCTGATGTAAACCAACAGAAATAGGAAAATATTTTGTCAATCCTCCTTCAGTTTGAACACAAGTAACAGCTCTAGTATACATATCTTTAATGACTTGAATATAAGTCATATCAAACATTTCTTCTCGAGAACTCTCCAAAGGATATCTCTTGGAACCTTATCGTAAGCTTTTTCTAAATCAATAAAAATCAAAATATAATTTGGAAAATTATGAGGATAATCTTAGTAGGTTTCCTTTGGCCAGACAAGTCTATGAAAAATATTATGATCTTTCGAATTGTTTTGTACATTTCTATATTTAATCAAATATATAAACCTTGTGATAATTTATGTAAATTATACACTTATTGAAATTTGACAAAATCAGTTCCACATTGTGCATAAAAATCATATTTACTTACTGTAAAAGTTAAAAATTATTTAGCTTAATTTAAGCACTAAAATTAACTTTTAAAGTAACTTTGTATTTTTGTACAAAAATAATTATCATAAATTAAATAAGCTTAGAAAAATCATGAAAAATAGTTTTATAATCTATTTTTTTGAAAAAATTTCATTTTCAAAGTGTATTTTGAATTAAAATAATTAAAATAATCAAAATTTTTAAAACTACAAAAAATGGTTCAAAATGTGTACAAGCTTTCCCTGATCACTTAGAATTCATTATGATATTTTTCCTAATTTTTCTAAGTTAAAAATAAAATTTAAAAGCTTAAAAGTGAATTTTCCTTATTTTCTCATTAAATAATTATAATAAATAAATTAAAAAACATAAAAATACAAAATTTGATAATAATAATAATAATTTAATTCAAAAACGTTTGATATTTTCTCTAGTTCTCTAAGTTTTTACATTTAAACCAATTTTTATAACATAACTTCTTATATTTTATCTTTTCTTGCACATTATTATTCCACCACCAACTATTTTTATTTGTAAATATTTTTCCCTTTGATTCTCCAAGAACATCTTTTGCTACATGTTTAATAGCGTTTGTTACTTTATCCCACATCACATTTGCTTCTTCATGAATATCCCAAATTTTGAAATCTTGAATTTTACTCATAAAATTAATTTTATTTGTATCTTTTAAGTTTCTCCATCTAATTCTGCAATGATGAGTCCTAGTATTTTTTTATTTTACAACTCTTAATCTTAAAATCTAAAACTAATAAACGATGTTGGGTATTTAAATTTTCACTTGGAATGACTTTACAATCTTTACAATCATGACGATCTCTTCTTCTCATAAGAAAATAATCAATTTGTGTTTTATTAGATCCACTCTTATAAGTAATAAGATGTTCATCCCTTTTCTTGAATAAAGTATTAGTAATAACAAAATCAAACGCTAAAGCAAAATCTAAAATAACTTTACCTTCTTCATTAGTTACTCCAAAACCGTAGCCACCATGAATATTTCTGAAATCTTCTACCACTCTACCGACATGTCCATTTAAATCTCCTCCAATAAAAATTCTTTCTTCAAGAGGTATCATTTGTATTAAGTCTTCTAAGTCATTCCAAAATTTATCTTTAGACTCTGTATCTAAACCTACTTGAGGAGCATAAACACTTATAATATTAAAAATCTTAGTATCAATGATAATCTTAAGGGCTATAATTCTATCACCAACTCTATTAATTTTTACAACATTATCTTTCAAACTCTTATCTATAATTACACCTACACCATTTCTAGTGCGACTCTTACCAGAATACCAAAGTTTAAAACCTAAATTATCAATCTCCTTAGCCTTTTCTCCCACCCACTTAGTTTCTTGAATACATAAGATATTAATTTTCCTATGAATCATAATATCAACTAATTCCATTAATTTACCATTGAGAGTGCCTATATTCCAAGATCCTACCCTAATATTAGTTTCATTAGTTTCATGGACTAACTTCTTTACCCGCATTCGCCCGTAATGTGGGAACCCTTGCTTATTTAACACTACACCCGGGCGCCGGTGTAGCGGCCCTTGCACACTTTTCACTGTATTCAGGCTATACAGCGCGTCGCTTCCAGGGGACGCCCTAGCACTTACACAATGATCAAAAGGATTCATGTCATGATTTTTTCGACAAGTTTTACGCTGGCTGTCGACTACCTAACGCAACCCTCCACTTTTCTCATCCGGGCTTGGGACCGGCAACGGCAGTGTTAAATATTTTGTATACGATATTTTATATATAAGAAAAAATCAATGTGCAAATATTTTGTAGGTTTGAAAATAGCACTACGGTTAGGTTAGTTGACCGGCAGAAGAAGCCACCATCACTGCATCACACCCTGCTTTCTTCATTAGTTTAATTTAAGTGCTTTTAAAAGGCTAAAAATATCATCTTTTGATCAATTTTAGATAATCCGTTGACCGACATAATTCCGTCTGTGGTAAATGAAGCCGTTCATTGTGATTTGCTAATTTTGCTTATAATGATTATTGATTGTGGCTAAAAGACTAATGCAAGGGCATAAAAAAAAACAGAACTAACAGCTTTGAATGCAACCATGTTACAACAGAACATGCTTATGAATAGCTATTCCATAGTTTATTAATGACCGATTTTGATTGCAAATGATTTTTTTTGTTTTTTTAGCTCATTATTACCTCCGTATTTCAATGACATGCAAACTATTAAGACATATCAAATAACATCATGCAATCACAATAAGTCATTTTCATGTTATTTGGGGATTCATCTAGAGATCATAATTTGATGGTCTTCTTTATGCCGCGCCTTTTGTGCCAAGAACTAGCAAAATGGAAATATTAATTTCTGACACGTAATATATATATATATTACGTGTCAGAATATTTTTGGCGGTAGAGTGATATTTAATGTCTTTGCTTTGCATGAAGATCCAACACACACAGATAATACAAAAATTGTGTGAGGAGGCACCAAGATTTTTTCATGAAAAAATCCTATAAAGGGAAACAAAATTACGGGATCTAGCATAATCAAAATCATCAACTGTATGATTATAAGTACATGTGTCTACTTCTCTCCTGAATTGAAGAAGATGGAATTATAATATTGATAATTACATATGTTCAATAGTATTTTGGCTATAATATTCATAATTGAGCTACAACAAGTGTGGTTCTTGGTTGTAATGGTAATAGTTAGTCACAATGGTCTTAGTTGGTTATTACAACAATATTAGTTGGCCTTAATGGTTGTAGCGACGGGTTGCAAGCGTCTGTTGGTCACACAGGCCATATTTTGTTTTAAAAATTACGTCAACTGGTCATAGAGATCACGGTGTGAATCTGCAGTAGCAGTTAGCCTCATAGGTCGTAGTTAATAATTACATAGTGTTAGTTAGCCCCAAAGGTCATAATAGGAAGCTACAGTAGTAGTTAACCACATAAGTCATTTTAGTTGGTAGTTGTAGTAACAGTCATCCACATAAGTCATATTTATTCACAAAAGTAGTATTTGGTTACTATATTAGCACTAGTTGGTCACAGAGATCGTAGTTGGAAGCTGTGAAAACAATTAGTCTTATAGTTTGTCGTGATGGGTAGTTGCAGTAGCACAAGTGGCCACAAAGATCGTAGTTGGAAGCTACAATAGCATTTAGCCGCATAAATAATATTTAGTAGTTGTAGTAGAATCAATTAGTCATAGAAGCCTTAGTAGAAAGTTATAGTAGCAATTAACTACATATGACATAATTGTTCACATAAGTCGTAGTTGGTGTTGCAAGAGCTTTCCTATGCCACAGAGGCCGTAGTCGGAAGATATAGTAGCAGTATACCATATGGATAGTATTTGGTCACATAAGTTGTAGTTGATAGTGTCAGCTGACCATAGAGATTGTAGTTGGAAGATATGGTAACTATTAGCCTCATATACCATAGTTCATAGCTACAATAATGCTAGTTGGCCACAGGATCTGTAGTCGGAAACTACAGTTGTAGTTAGCTATATAGGTCTTTAGATTTTTCGATTTCATCCATCATGTGCTAATTTTTTTGTAATAATATAATATTTAGATTTTGTTTAGCCCTTCAATTCAGGTCTTTAGATTTGTAAGCATACTTTAAATGCTTAGTTTAAGCTTTATTTAAACCAACATCATATTACTTTTAATTTCTTTTGGTTAATCTCATAAAGTAATTTGGTTCAATTATAAATTTGTTAAAATTGTAGATCAAATGTTTATGAGTTTAATTCCGAAAATTGCCAATTAATGTGCTTCATCAAGTTTTGTGCTTGATTATATGGATTTTCTATTGGTTGGATCATGGTCCAAACAATGATTGAATAATGTTCAAATAATATTTAAACAAAGTTAAGCATATAACAAATATGGCTTGAATATAGCTTGAGTATGGTGTGAATATATTTTGATCATTGTTTAAACATGATTAAAGCGCGATTCAAACACGATGTGACTTTGTTTCGATTAGTTATTCAATTTTTCCCTTATTATCTTTTATGATATTAACTTGTTTAAACTTTTTTATTATATATAGATGTTAGTTTTTCTCATACATGTGGATAGGTGCAACATTGTTCAACTTACATATAGAATTGGGGATATGATTTAAAAATTATTGAATAATTAGGAGCTAATAATCTCATTAACATGATTGATAGATCCCCTATTAACTAAGTCAATTATACTTTAAAGTTATAATTTTTATGGAATTGATTCACCAATTATTAATAAAAATGATTGATGATGATGTGAATAAAAGATACTATAATAGGTTTAATATAAAAGATAAGAATATAATGTATGACACTAAGGAAGCTGCTCTCATAAATGGGTTAGAGATTCAAGATTCTCTTCTAAGGAGCAACTCAGAGAAAAGATCACAAAGAGTATGCTAATTTATCGTTTGTCAAATGTAGAAAAACATTTTAAGAATGTCAGCCTCAAAAAAGAATTATAGGGTTTATTTGACATGAATTTGATAAAGCATTATGGAGTTTGTTGATTGGTTCAAATGCCCATATGCTCGTTCTTGGCCAAATGGCACGTGCTTGTATCCTCTAGTCATCTCTGGTCTATCTCGTGGTTTGATCAGTTTTTTATCTTGTTGGCTTGGTCTGTATGGCTTTGCTGGTCAGCCAAATTGGCTTCACAAACTCTTGCCAGCGAGCCATCATTCTTTATAATCTTCTCTTTTGGACTGTATTGACAAATTTTTAATGGTCATATTTTAATTCCCTAATTCTTTTATTCTTTGAAAGTGACGATGAGAAAACAATAAAAGAAATTAATGCAATAAGTAGATTGCATTCAGACTAAGTTAATATTTCAATAATTGAACTCCCTTATTTATAGACCTTTGATTCTTATAAATAGAGCACGATGAGACTGCTTCCCTTGCCAAATTTGCTCCGTGTCTTTCCTTCTTTGAATCAGACGACTTCCATGTGTTGTGATGGAGAACATATCTAGACCCTTGGGTGATTTCCTCAACAAAGATGTGATCTATTTCGCCTTTGGAAATTCAAAAGGATGAGATCGCCTTGAAGGTGAAAGGAAGAAAAAAGTCACTGTGAAGAAGATGAAAGCAGTTGTACCGACAAATGTTGGATTAGTGGGATCATATGATTCACTCCTTGGTACTAAGTGTAAGAGCATTCAACCGACCGTCTCGAACCTCAATAAGACTGCCCAACCATCTATTGTGTCACAATACCCTTTTGTTGGAACAATAACAAAAATGACTTCCGGTGAACTTCAGTCACTTTCATCAGTGCCTCCTGATGAAGGTGGAACACTCATGATATCTAAATGGAATCAGCTCTTGTATAAGAAGGGTTTTAGTCTTGTTTATGGGATTTGATATTTTTCTGAAGATTTTTTATTTTATGATGTTTCTTGGTGCAGATGACCCAACTTTGATGGTCATGGATGATGATCTGGCTCCGACGGACGTGGGTGAGAATATGATCGGGGTGCCGATGACACTTGCCTAGGTGTTAAGCGAGGGAGGCTGACCTTCGAGCTAGAATGACATAATCGATCATTTCGACAATCTTCTTGAGACAGATAGGGAAGCAACTGATTGTCCTTAAACATCTATTGGATTGATGGCTCGTCGTTTAGATGAGATCAAGATTTCTTTCGCTTGGTGGATAGGAATCGAGTGAGGCGAGGAAATGCATGAGCAACTGACTCATGTGGGGAAGGTCTATGTGTGCACATGCACGCTGGCGCAGGTGAGCACTTAGCGTGTGTTTGAGGTAGCGATGCAGTGGTGGTGCATTGTTGTGGCAGTGTGGTGCCGCATCATAACTTTTTTCTATTTGGCAAAACTGTGTTTTTTCTGCATTCTCAATAAATTGTAGCTGAAAGCAGCGTTTTCCTACAAGACCGACTAACTGTGGTGGCTGCTGAAAGCTGAGTTTGACATTTTCAATTTTTTTTTTTATAATAGTCACTGTAATCTTTTGAAAAACAGTTTCCTTTTAAACAACTTTACAATTGCTTCTTCAAATAGCTACAACTGTCACATGCAAACAGACCCTTAGACATGTAGGTCAGGGCCAACACATGCATGCATAGTTGAGTACCCAAGCATGTTGGAGCATGCACGCACACGTACATGCAGGCATGAATACACATGTAAGCGCATACAACCACACACCTAGCAACTGCTATAATATTTCGGAGAATAGTATAATATTGAAAACAATAATGAAAAATTATGTATGTATTTACATAAAAAATTATACTAGAAAATTTATAGGTTTAAATTTATAAATTAATGTCTTAGTGTTGTATGAAGATCAACACATAAACAAATAGAATAAGTGTTGAAAGAGTAGACACCCGAGATTTTACGGGAACAACCCGTAAAGAGAAAAAATTATGGGGTTTAATTTAGTCAAAATAATCAACAATATGTTTCAAGATAAGAAGTTTCAATCTTATCTCTAACTAGAAAAGATAGAGTTATATAATTTTGATTGGGAGATAAGAATCTGACAGCAACTATTTGAGAATAATAACTAGGCCACAACAATCACTACTAGTGGTCGGCGATGATCTACAATGATCTTCATCTTCACACATTTTTTAAAAGTGCGTACTTTGAGCTTAATTTTTCTCCTCACATTCTTGTTGAAAATGAAGTCCTATTATCAAATTTCCAGAGAAATATTTTGATAAATTTAGCTAAAATCTCTGGGTACTCCATCGCTTGTACCTTTTTAATTCATTTAATTATATATTGTTTTTTAGCATATCAAGGCGTTTGTGATATTTAATTATAGATTCATTTAACACATTTTTCAAAATTTTGTGATATTGGACTCATTATATTTTACACATCAATACGTTTGATTTAACTATAAATAACTTAAGTTTGAAGGACATTCAACATTTCAATTAATGTTTCAAAGCTTTCAATTATACTTTAGGAACTTAATCCAATCTCATTTGGACTCGCATCAAATCACTTTTAGTATTATTGGGTTTATATTATCGAGATGCTCGATTTGATCTCGAATTTAAATATGAAGATTGTACGATCACATAGGCTTATTTTCTTTATAGCATATCAAGTATAATTAGGTCTCACTATTTTTTCTTAGTTTTCTTTCTAATATTTTAACTTTTATTTTATTTTATTATAGATATTGTGTATAAATCAAAAGGTTGATGATTTTTAGTTTCTTGGGATGAAATAAGGATTTTATTTTTTGTCCCCTGTTTTAAGAAGTTTATATAAGATACTGAAAGTAAATTCAATTATAATAAATAAAAATGATTACATCAATATTTAATAAAGAGTTTAGGTGCAATATTTCATAAATCAAAAAAGAATTTATCAAACTCCCTTTGGAATAATTAAGCTGACTAAATTACTTTCTGGCATTGATCCATCAACACCAGCAACCACAACCATTTAAATTACAGAAAAAGAGAAAATATTCCATGCCGCAATACAAAAGCATGCAATTTGCGCTCTACTTTCCCAAAAGCAGTCTCCCCACCATATAAAGAACAAGATAGATCCTCATAACAGCTGAGTTTAGTCCGCAATAATAATGTCTCAAAAGACGGCATTAGAAATCAGAACAGATGATGATGAGAACTCTCAGAAATGGCTTCTTCCTCTCAATGAAGATGTTTTCATCTCTTATCTCAGCCAAGCTGGAGAAATAGCGCAGAAAGTGTTTGGAGAAGGCTCACTATTCAGCCCACTTCTGTTTGGAAAGTTCTTTGATCCAGCTGATGCTTTTCCTTTATGGGACTTCGATTCAGAATTGCTCCTCTCCAGGTTTCACAGAGCCTCAAAGAGCAGTGTTGATTGGTCTGAAACACATGATCAGTATATCCTGAGAGCTGAACTTCCAGGTAATAATTTATACTAAATATCTATATTATAAAGTTAAGAACTTTGCTTTTTAATCTTTTTATGGATCGAAATTGTTTGGTGCTCATCTGTTTCCCAGCCTAAAGAAAAAAAGTTACTTTTTTTTTCATCTTTTTTACTTTACAGCAGCTCATGTTCATATCAGAAACTAACATCTTAAGGTGCTTTGAATGGTGTACTAGTGGAAGGAAGGAGTGTAGAAGTGGCAATATGTGGAGATAAGAAAAATTTGATAGAAATCAGTGGAATCTGGAAGGTCGGAAACCCTACAGTAAGAGATTGGAAGCTCAGAAAATGGTGGGAATATGGATTTGTGAGGCGTTTAGAGGTAGCAGATGATGCTGATTGCAGAAAGATGGAAGCTTGCATCAACAACGATGTTACTCTTGAGATTATTATTCCAAAGAGTTAGTATATAAATCTGAAAAGATTTTTAATTACATGGAGGGTGTGGTCACCAATAATCACAATTCGTATGGATATGGGAAGTATATTTAATCAGTAGTATTGTATTAATTTATTCTTATTCTGTTGCAGTTCTGTGACATATAGCATCTAACATAAATAATTTATTGCTAGCTTTCTACAATTTGTGCACAGAATGTTGAGCAGATTTATTCTACTGAACACAAGTTAATAGAATTCATAATGACTCATCCATAGCACATGAAAGTGATTTAGAAGCCATTGTCCATTTCATCATTTGATCATTACTAAACAATAGGTCATTATATTTGTAAATGAGCTTGCATTTTGTTCAACAAACAACCTGACAATGCTATTTGAGACTTTTTTTTTTTGCTTTTAATTTATTTGTATTTTATTATGAAAAAAAAACATATATTTGATATTTTGTGCATTCATTATTTCTAAAATTAAAAATATGGTTGCATTTATGGCCCCAATCAACGAGAGCCATGCCAATACCATTGATAGCCTCCTCTGCTTTATTTGCAGCATGCCATTTGTAGATAAATTAAGGTACACCTTTCTTTCTTTCTTTCTTTTTTTTTTTTTTTGAGAAAGGTGATACATGAGATTTAAATCCGTTAGCCATAGTAAGAAGTTACACTATCAACCATTATGTCGCGGATAAGTACTCAATTAATGAGTAACTTATTAAATTCTTTTTTTTAATCGATTATGTTGATTTGCAACACTAAGAGCTTGTTCTGCAGCTGTTTGAAAAAAAACAAAGGTAAAGTTGTTTCTTCAAAAAAATATTCAAAAAGGTAAATGATATTACAATTTTATTTTATTTTCAAAAAGTCTGATGTTAGCTTTCTGACAGCAATCACACTTTAACAATTAAGATTGAAAAAAATAGCTTCTTTACCACAAAAACTAATAGAAAGCGACAAGAGAAGTGTTCCCATAAAAACCTAAGTTTGAACCCCAATGTAGTTCACTTTGATCTAATGTTTAGGTGTGTTGGCAAAACTAATTTAATCATATCTTTGTAAATCTCTAACCAATTTTTCCTAAAAATAGAATATCTTATCCTATAAACAGTGAATGAAGAAGAAATAACAACAATACTTTAAATTTAAATTAGCTTATATTATAAAAATGCCCCAAATTACAAAAAAAAGTGATGGAGATTATAAAATTTTGATTGGGTTTCAGAACTACAATTATATTGAAAATTTTAAGAATAGTTTGAGATCATTGTTGTTTTTAATTTTAATTTATTATAAAATATATTTAATATATTAAGAATATGAAGAGTAAAATACACTGAATTGTCACAAATATAAGAAAAATAACAACAGATAGTTTAATCTTAAAGTTGCATTCGAAACAGAGCAGCCAACCTCCAGTACTGTTACAACTTCTAAGTCAGGAGAAAATATTGTGTCAGGATACATAGGTGCAGATGGTGATATATTGATGTTATTGAGGTACAATAACAGCACAAATACCATCAGAATATTATGTTACAAGTTATTCTTGTGATATTCTAGTGATATTGTGACAATATTCTGGTATAATATGATCACAATATCACAAGAATTGATACCATCTGAACCTCATGCAATATTTTCTCCTAAGCCAGGGCCATCAGCAAACAGAACACTAACACAATCCCTGCCACCACCGGCCGACCCCCACTGTTTTTCTCTTGAGTCGCTTGCGGTGAAAGACCGGCCGCTGCCTCAGAGGACTGCGCAGGCGGCATCAATGTCTCAACAACTGGTGACAGAGCAGGCGAAGGTATGACTGGGGCATGAGCTGGAAGGGATGGTGAACTTGCTGTCGGACTAGCAGCAGGTGCCGGAGAAGGGACGACGGGGGTTGGGTTTACAGGGGAAGCCACTGGTGCATTTGTAGTTGCTGAACTTGAGACAATGTTGATCTCCATCTTCATCCCTTGGCTACAATGGCCTGGAGTACCACAGATGAAATATCTCTTTCCTGATGAGCTCAGCTTGACCACTGCACTGCCGCCTGTATAAGCCTTGATTGGATTGTTCATGGTGCAAGCTGCATAGTCCGCCTTCGGTACCTCAACAACGCTATGAAATGACCCAAAGGAGAAAGCTGCAAAACATAAGGAGGAGATTTGATGTTACAGCAATAAATTGTAAAGATGCTCCATTTATTTAGTTTAAGAATTGTAAAGCTTTCAATGAAAGAAAGACTGACTTAACGTGTCTCCAGGGGCAAATGTTTGAGAGGAAGACCATGAACCCAAGTCTGTGCTGAGATCCCAGCTACCATTTGGACCGCCGACCATCAGGTTTGCAGCCATTACACCGCTCATTAAATGAGCAATGGCTGCCAAACCTATGAACTTTAGCAAAATTGCCATCTTTACTGATTTTACTAAAATGAAAATGTTGCAGAAGAAATGTATGAAGGAAGGAGATTATATAGAGTTGCAGCAATGATCTCTTGGAATCTTATTGGCAATCTTATGGGCCCTACTATGATTGATTACAAAGAGATTTCGGTAAGAGGTCGTAGTGGTGATGAGGGTTGTGTTTGTAGAAGGTATTTCATGGAGTTGGTAGACAGACCCTTCTCGTCCCATTAAAAACTCTACGACAGTGAGAATTCATCAACAGGTGAAGTTGTTGACCGACGACTGGTTTAGGTGCTGATGACGAGCAAGCTGTGATGGTTTCAGCCAATTTATTTGTTTTAACATATCAGCCACCCAAACTTTAACTTTTACTTCCTGTTGTGAAGATCACCATTCTTATGTTTTCGGCATATTGGATGATCTATAGGTAAAAATTAAAGTTTAGGTGGTTAATATGTTAATACATAGGAATTGGAGTTAGGTTTGTAAATCTCCCAATATTTATATTGCTTTCTGCCATTAAAAGTTTCTGATATATCATATTGACTCTGGCCTGGGTAATATTAGTAAAATAGAGCTAGTGCATAAAAACTTACACTTATGAAATGTGCTACAGCTGTCGCCCTTTTTTTTTTTGTTTTCTAAATGCCCCTTTGTTTTGACCAAGACCCCAATATGGGCTACCACTATTGATCAACTTGTTTGTTTTGAAAACTTATATATATAAGTGTTCTGTAATGATTGGGCTACTTTATTCATTCATGTGTTCCATCTTTATGCAGCTCCTTGCTGTCATTCTGCTTATCATATTCCTGGATTAGTTAGAAGCTGTGCTATAGGATGATATTTTTTTGAGTTTTTCCTCGAATCAAAAGAGAAAAAATGAATTGAAATATCAAAGCAATAAAATATTGAGAAACAAAAAGGATTTACATAATTTATTGCTTGTAGTTATTGGATGACTGGGCTTCTTTTCTTCTTCTTCTTTTTTTTTTTTCTAATAGTTGTGCCCATGTCCATCTGTAATTATGTAAGCAGCTCTGATCTGGTGTTATGCTTATCTTATCCCTGGGTTGGTTAAATGTTTGCGAAAGGAAGATTTAATTTAGATTTTTCTCAATTAGGAGTGAAATTCCTTTCATTCCACGTTTGACCTTTAGGTAATTCAATTTGTAAATGTGATGATGAGATGCTTGTGACAGGATGACTTGACACGATGACTTGGTTGCTTTTACATGATTATTATATTATTGTACATCGAAAATATGTCAGCACGAATCACGAAGACTTCTAGTGGATGGCAGAAGAGGTGGCGTGGCCCGCGAGGCATACCAATGATGACCCGGGACCACACACTCAGCCGATCGTCCCCCACGTACCAGGAGAACGGTGCACCTTAGATGGATAAAGGATTTATCACCCCTGAAGAATCCATCTAGTCAAATCCACTCGGATGAACCTGTCGCTCTCCAACCCAAATTGACTACGAAAATGAAATAGACCTTCTAGTTGAACCCTCAACAAGTAGCCGCCCGGACATCACAGGCGTCCGGGTTAACAACCACCTTGCCACACAGGCAGCTGACCTAACGGTCGTTCGATCTCATATCTGCTCGGCTGGATGGCCGGCGGCAGCTCGGTTTGATAGTTGCTCAGCCTAACAGACGTCCAACCACATCCATGGGACCCATGTGTCATATTATATACGGACTAAAATGCCCCCTGCCATACCAACATACTTTAGGGGTATTGTGTGTAATTGCATGATAACCCATTTCTATAAGTAAGGGTGAATTTCATAAATAAATGTTTCTCAAATTTACTGTTTATTACTATGTTATTTGCTACTGTTGATTGTGGAAAAAACCTTCAAGCTCTAATATTTTGATTTTTTTTTTCATATTCATATTGATTGATTAAAGTTAAACTGCAGGATGATCTTAATTGAGGTTTCCAAAAGTCTAATTAATTTTTAAGGATTTATATATGCTCTAATTTTGAGCCCTGGACTATGAATTCCCTTTGTTTCACAACTATTGTGTTACTTAATAAATTAATTCGATTTATACGTTGTTAACATTAACAAAAAAAAAAAAACGTGCTTTAGCAGTGAAGCAAAATGATTCATTAGCCTTGCTCATTGCTTGTTTATGAAGCGCAAGCTCTTATACCATCGTGATGCATGCTTAACTCAAGCTCATTATAAAAGTCTTTTTTCATATTTTATAGTTTGGTTCAACATTTGCCACAATTTCTAATTACAAACCTTTACTTCTACTAATCTTTTCTCGTAGCTATTGAGTTATTGCTTGTTGGTTTTCCATTTTCTCATTGGAGCTAATCAAATAACTAGTACACATTTACACGTAATCAAATATATATATATATTTAATAACAAAACCTATCTTATATGTTCGTTGGTAGTATAAACCTATAGAGAAAAAAGATGAAAAAATAAGGAAAATATTTGTTATGTTAGGACAAAGATTCATATTACGGTCTTCTTATTCAAAATGAGAAAACAGCAGTATGTGGGGAACATGGGAGAAGCCAGAACAAAATCATTTACTTATATCTATGGTTCATGCAACTTTCAACATCAACATGGCAGTCTAAACCCCATGTTCTTCCCGTTAGTGTAATCCCTCCAAACATCAATCGCACCAAAGCAACTAATTGAGATTGTGCTTAGAGCCATCACCGTACTGACTGAGAACACAATAAGAGAGGCTCTGCCTGATCTTTCTATGGCTCTCTGTATGATGACGAGGCCGACAATGGAAGCAATGAAGCATATGGCTGAGAAAATTAGTGCTTGGTCTATGTCCTTCATGCCGAGGATCAAGAACTGAACCAGGGACATGGATGATGAGAACAGGACCATGAAGGAGGTTGTTCCCGCTGTTACCTATAATTAATGTATCAGGAATATGTTGTAAGCTTGTGAAAATTGCAGGATAGTCATAAAACTTTGAGCAAAAATAAGAAAAAAAGACATAGAGGTGACAAATACTAGACATCAAAGTTTACATAATTTGGGGAGACTTACTTATGTCTATAGCGGAATAAAGATCAGATATTTACTATGCTTTAAAAAAGGGGTACATTAGATATTTTACTATGTATAAAGTTAATTATAAGGATAAATACATCATTTTCTCAAGGTTAATGATTGAGATGGAACACACGACCGGCTGAGAAGATGAGAGTTGAACGTGGATGATAGAACATTATTGTTGTTATCACTTTTTCTATTCTTTATTGCATAAGTTTCTCATTATGGTGGATAGATGTAAGAAAAACTAAAACTACCATTTGTACAAAAATCCTTAATAAAATTAGTACAAAAATATAAAGGAATGGAGGTACTTAAGTTGTATATGTTTTGTCCATAAGTAGAAAGAGGCATTCCTTTTTACAATGAACGTGATTGGGTATCCCAAAACAATGTTGCATCTTTTAATGCTTGTTGAGTACTTTTAGGAAGCCTTTCAACTGAATCCTGCTCTTAATGACTTCAGTGGAAGTTAAATATTCAGCTTTTTAATGATAATGTAACTATATTTTAAAATTGTGACATTCAACTAATAGTTGTGTTGCCTAAGATATTCTTGATGTTAATTTACCTTTCATGAAAGTATCCTTCTCGATATATCACAACTACTGGAGCAATTAGTAGAAATGGATCAACATGCTATCGAGTGAAGGTCACTTTTTCAATATGTTGGACCTATATTTGTATAACACATACTTATTGAAAATAGTATTTCTGCTTCAAATAATTTTCTTACCTTCATTATCCAAATTCTATCATTGAACTCATCTTTATCATATATAATGACAAAGCACTTATTGGACTTTAGTCAAGCTTTTCTATGATGATTTGATCAACATAAATGTTATTTTGACCCCCAATTAATTAACTAAGGTAAAAGGGCAATTTTGTAATGTGGCACCACCACCTACCACATCTCTACCTACCGCTCACCTACCGGCCACCTACCGGTCACCTACCTCCCACCTACCACTCTCTTGCTTCTATAAATAGAGAGGGTGTGAGACTTAGGAGAGCAAGGGAAGAAATCTTAAGGGTGTGAGGCTTAGGAGAGCAAGGGAGAAGATATCTTGAGCTACCACAAAAAGGAGGAGAGAATAACTATAGAGTTAGAGAGGAGGTCATAGAAGGAAGATGAGGACTCATCTCTATGTATATGCTATGTATTCTCCATTTCTTTTGTCTTAGTGAACTATTTGATTGATTCCCTTCCGTGGACGTAGATCCAGTTGGATCGAACCACGTAAACGATCTGTGTTTGCTTGTGTTCTTTTTCGTCTCATTTCTATGCCAGGAAGTACATATCTCACAACAATTGGGCCGTCTGTGGGAAGATCCATACTTCTTGGCTAGAGGTGTCCGCGTAAAGGTGTTCGCGGCCAGCGACAAAGAAGAGGAGTTCGACATTCACAAACAGAAGAGCAAGTGGATCGTGTCGCAGGTAGCCGAATCGCGACAGATTCGGTGAGCAGTGAAAGCTTTGATTGACTGGATTCGCACCGCAGGTTGTGCGGTTTGGCGAGAAGGAGGAACTGTCATCGAGCGAGGGCCGAAAATTTGCGACAGGGCTGCCAGCAGAGGATTTCGGTCTTGCGAGCAGCTCGGCTAGAGGGAAGAGGTGGAGATCGCGCAGAGAAGGGTTCGGGAGTTTGCGAAGCAGGAGGACCTGAGCAGTTTGGCGAGGCGCGACGACTCTAGAGAGGCAGTTATTCTCGTGTGAGAGGCAGAGGAGGAATTCTTGATTTGTTCCGCTGGATGCAGAGGAGTGCTTGTGGGAAGGAGGCGCGAGAACAGAACAGGAAGTTTCCTCCGGTGAACAGGTCTGATCACTGTCAGAAGGGATCGGAGCTTTCCGTTCGGTTGACGAAGGCAGTGGAGTTCACGGGGAGAAGGTAAGAAATTTGGTGAGAATTTCTTGGATAACAAGGCGTTAAAAGTTCTTGGAAGGGCAGCAGGTAGAATTCATTGGAATAAATCATAGCCACGATAATGAGTTCCGTCAAATTTGACATTGAAAAATTCAATGGGAAGAACGACTTCGGCCTATGGAGAGTAAAGATGAGAGCTCTATTGGTTCAACAGGGTGTTGCAGAAGCCTTGCAAGGGT